ATGAATTGACTTCTTTAAAATATTCTTTAGTCATATCTTGATCATAATTTTTTCAACTAATATACTTATAGTGTAGGGTTACATTCTAGAAAGGAATTACACTCTCTCTTACATTACATTTTGCAAAAATTGTTCTCATTACTGCTAATATAATTAATTAAAAGTAACAAATTTTAAAAATTATTTAACAATACCTCCTCCTATTTCTTGTTATTGTATATTTAATTTGGGATCAAATTTGCCCTTAACATTAGTGGAAGAAGAACTATCTAACGAAATTTCTCCTTCATCTATAATCATCATAATTTGAATCTTCATATTCTTCATCAACATCATTCCTAATTCTTTTATTGCAACAAATTCAAAAATTTAAATTTAACAAATAAATATATTAATAAAACAATTTGTAAATATCAAGTTTACCTTGGTAATAATCAGAATTGACAAGGTTTATATCATTTTTTTGTGAAAATGATAAATTTAAATCCACTATCTACAACAGAATTGATGAACTTCCACCAACAGCGACATCTACATATAATTTAATAATAGTTTCACCACCTTGTTGATTATATGGACTTATCATGCAATCAATATTTTCATCATCACATATATCCAAAGCTGTGTATGGTCTACCATTTTCATCAATAAAAAATATGAAATTAATCTATAAATAACTTGATTATGACCAAGATTATGTTTCAAATAAATTTTTCTTTTTAATGTTTCAAAATTTATTCTTCGTTTTATTTGAATCACTTTCTTATTTCCTTCAAAACTCAAATTTTTATTTCTTTCATAGATTTTACCATTCCAATTTATAATAATAACAATTCCACTTATGCTGTATTTTTACAAATAAAAATTAATTAATACATTATTTATTTTTCTAAAATTAAAATTTAAAAAATTATAATCATTCACTAAATAATTAAGTTATTTACTTAATTAATTCAAAATAATCAACAATAACTAATATCACACTTTTAAATTAAATTAACAACAAATTATAAAAAAAATTAAATAAAACTAATTTTGTAAGCCTTTCAAAATTTCTTCTTCAAATTGAATCAACTGAAAGGTACATTTGATATATATATATATATATATATATATATATATATATATATATATATATAGCAAAATATTTTGGTCAAAGCATATGACCTATGACCTACATGAAAATGTCCATTGGATAAGAGGTTGAATGCTTGCAAGTTTCTCCATAATATTCGCACAATCCACCATATTCGTGCCATGTGTCAATTCACCACAAGTTGTGCCACTTTTACGATAAAATACATCATAAAGTAACATGTGACATCTTTAGAAAGTTTTCTCCTATCCATGATAAACTTGTTTTTAATTTGTTTATCTTATAACGAAATAGATGATATGATGACACATGGCAGCATCTTGTTATTTCACAATTTTTTGTAACAAAATTAATTTAAAAAAATAAAAATTACAGACTTTCACAAGTTATATTGATAAAATATGTGTCACATAGCATATTCAGTCTTAAACAGAAAAATAGTTTAAAAATTATAATAAATAAAGAATTTATTTTTAAATTTATATTATTTAAATAAAAAGCCAGGTCACCAACCTTAGGGTATCTATATTTTTTGGTTTCCAAATGTGGACATGCTTTGTAAATACCTCCACTTGTTTGTTTTCATGTTAGATTTTTATTACTTTTGGCCTATCACAATATTCCATTGACTAAAATTTCTGTTTTTTTATTTTAAAACTTAATAGTATAACAATGTTTTTATTTTTGTATTTTTAAGACTTTGGTTTTATTCATTTTAATTTTAATGTCTAATTTTTTCAATTTTATATTTTCACTCCTCTTAATAATATGATTAACTTAAAAAATTTACATTATTTATTTATAGGATCATGTTATTATCAAGAACACAAATATTAAATTTAAAAAATTAAAAATTAAAATTTCATATAGAAATTTTAAATATATTGAAGTAATAAAATCAATAATATTATTATATTTTTAAATTAAAAACATAATAATTTATTTATATTTTTTCAAAGTTATAAAAAATATATAATTATTTTTAAAATAAATCAATCTGCGTATGCACCTAAAAACAAAACTTAGATACAGAATTAAAAATATTATTAATATTCTTCTCCAATCAAAATTCCTCTCTCTTATTTGTTGTTTTCGTCATTGGTACTCATTAAACGGTAGAGTCGTATAATTTGACTTTTTAAAGTGATATTTTATTTATTTTTGAAAATTTTATTTTGTAAAATTAATTGTTAAATGTGTTAACTTACATATATTTTGATATTTTTCACAAAAGTATAAGTAAAAAAATAAAATGTAAATAAAATTAATATATTTGTAGATTAAATTATACACAATGTTTTAAAAAATCAATTAATTTCAATAAAATATAAAATATAAGTAAATTGACATATTCGACAGAGTGTCACTTTTTTTTTTGTCAGAACCATCTTATTATATATTTACTCTTAAATAGTATCATGGCGTCAATAATGTCTTTTGATAGATAAATATTTACTTTGTAATTGTTACAGAATAACGCCAAGATATTTTAAGCCTTTTACAGAACTCCCGAAACACCACTCACCAAAAAGGCAAAAACAAGGAAAAACACAAAAACACAAAGGTGCGTGAGAAAAAAATAGTGAAAGAAAATGTCGTTGTGGTAACAAAATAGTTAATTTTTCTTTTCTGAAAAGACATTGTTAAATATAAAGTTTAAATTGAGTATAATTTTTTTTTAAATTTATATTAGTATGACAACTGATACGATATTTATATATATATTTATATATATATATATATATATATATATATATATATATAATTTTACTTGTCATCGGTTTTGGTTTTGGTTTTAATATTGTAAAAAATTGAATTTGAATTCCTATAGTTGATTAATGATTTGATTTTGATTTTTACCTGATTTTGGCTAACATGATTGATTAACCATAGATATGTGATGCTTATCTAACACCACACGTTATTTGCAAACATGTCTTCGTTCCTTCACATCTCTAGCCATTGCAAGACACCCATTCTCCATTGTAAATTCCAAGGTTTGGAATTTATGGTAAGAATTAGAACCGTTCAGGTGGCGGTTTTCAACTTGCTTATGCGGTGGAGATTTTGTTAAAAAAATGTTCTTATGAAAAACACTCCAAATTTTAAGTTGGTCAAAGCTTTGGCCAGTGAAGATCATATACCTGAGGTTTAAAGTCATTTCTCTTTTATGGATGTGAGCTTTTTTGAATTTTAGAAGTGCACCTTTACACTTACGTCACTTGATTTGATGATGTCAAATAGAATGGGTTGCCCTCTAAATCCTTGCTTACATGAGCAATTAATGCTAACTGATTGAGATGAGTTTATGTTGGTCCTATTTGAGGTTCAGGTAACTAAGAATATACTTGCCTTGATGATACATAATTTTCTTGATATTAGAAATAATGCTTCAGTGTTAAATTCGATGTTAATTTTGTCAATAAACTGCTGATTTAGTCTTACTAATCACAATTAACTATGTTAATTATAGGTCAACATGGAAGTAAAATTTATATGATTAGTCCAAATATCTTTACATTCTGCGTCCACTATACCAGAATAATAACCTTTTGCAATTGATAACATTAAAATGTAATTGGTTATATACTTACATCTGGACTCAGCAGCATAGTCTTATTACTGTTGGTAATAATGATCTTTGTCTGGAATAACAGTAGAAAAAGAAAAGTGAATCAAATAGTACAGCAGAAACGTAGATAATTCGAACAAAAAAAGGTAAAATTAATGGAACTAATACCAGAAAATAGGGTCACATCACATGTTGAGACAATAACTCTTGGATGCTTCAAAAGAACAGAGAAATTAGAAGCTTGGTTTTTCCTTTTTAATATATATAATATTACGTAATTATTAAAAATAAAATAAAAAAAGATTTCACTGAATGTATTCCTTATATATTCTTTATCTGATCATTTCAAGGAGATAAAAATGATAAAAAATTTCAGTGAAAAATTAAATCCCCAAATCTTGGATTTTATCAATTTTATCTTCTTAGCATGATTAGATAAGGAATACATTCAGTGAAATTATTTTATTTTATTTTTTTATAATTACATAATATTTTAAAATATTACATAATTTAACATTTTAATATTAATTATTCATAATTAAATATTCATTTTTTATTTAAGTAGTTAAAATATATATCATTCAATTATAAATTATTACATTAGTAAAAATTATATTTTTAATAACTAATTTAAACTTTATATTTATTATATATTTAAATTATCAATAACACTAATAATACACTAAAATTGAATTTATCTTTAATTATCATATCTTTATCGTATGTTCACTCACTGTTTATTTTATTCTTTTTGAATGTTAATTGATGTTAATGCTTTGTCATAAATAATATACGGCGAACGTATACACTTTTGTGTGTGTACATTAAAATTAATATTTTGGTCATTTGACCTTTTTTATTTTAATTTTTTTCAACTTTCAATTTAGTTCTATTCGACAATTGTAATATTTTTATCATCACAAATTATGATTTTTTTTCAATCATCACAATCTTTCACTGTGATAATTAATAAATAAGATTAAATTAAAATTAAAGAAAAAGATAATAAATTGAAATAAAATAAAAATTTAAAAGCTGAATTAAACTTAAAGAAATAAACATTTTATTTAAGAATAAAATAAACCAATTTAAAGTAGGATTAAACAAAATAAAATATTTAAACTATTACTTTTTTGGTGTGTGTAAAACTATTACATTGAAAGAGTGGAATGTGAGGCATAAAATAAAATATTTATAGATTTGTTATTCTATTTGCAAATGAAAGCTTGCATGACAGGTGTATTCATTACCAATAACAATCATTAGTTAACTTAAATTAACTAATTAAGCCCCACCAAGCATCAAACAGCCATCAATATTATAATTACATATTTTTAAAAAGGAAATTGAAATTGTAAAGAGAAAGAGAACAATGTTTCTTCTTCAATTCCTTTACAGCTGAGCCGAGATTGACAATCCCCTTGTGATGATAACGATAAACAGCTAATGGTGTAAGCTAAATCTCAAATCAATTCCAAATGATTTCCATAGCAAATTAGGGTTTTCAATTTCAAACCCTAAAAAATAATAGCCTTTAGAATTGGTCCCATTCATGCCCTTTTGCTCCCACCCACACACCCACCCATCATCATCGTCATCAACAATAAACAACGGTTAACAATTTTGAGTCCAACCCCAATCCCAGGATCAACCCCGAAACTCAATAAAAGATTCAAAAAACAAATTAGGGTTCTAATTTTAAAATCATGGCCTTTCGAAATGGTCCCTTTGAGTTACTCTAACCCCACAACCACCCATCATCATTATCATCAACCACAAGTAACCATTTTGAGTCCATCCCCAAACCCAGATCCTAACAATCCCAATGATTCTAAAACAATTCATTGGGGTTCCAATTTCAAACACTTAATAAAAAATTAGGGTTTTTTTTTTTTTCGCTTCTGCTTCCCCAAACCACAACCACAGCCACAGCCACACCCACACCCACACCGACCCATCATCACCCCCACCACCAAGCTTCGATTTTGAGTTTGAAAATGGCGACAAGGGGCACCAGATCGGAGAAGGTTCGTCGAATTTTCCAGCAATTCGACGCGAACCGCGACGGGGGTCTCAACCGCGACGAAATGGCGTCGCTTGTTGGTGCAGTAAACCCTAGGGTAAAGTTCAGTGACGAACAAATCAACGCCATTCTCGACGAGGTGTTCCGAACCTACGGCGAATTCATCGACGGCGACAAGGGTCTCACCTACGAGGGTCTCTTACGAACCTACGACGACGGTGCCGGCGACGTTGACCGCGATTTTGACGCCCTTGGCCTCGACCTCAACGTAGACGAGGCCGCAGCCGCAAAGGGGTCGCTTGCGGCAGCTTCTGAGGCGTCGTCGTCGTCGATTGTCGACGAGAGAATGGCCGTGGAGACGCAGAAGAAGCAGCGGACGGCGGCGTGGGCTGTGTCGCCAAATCATGGGATCGTGTTTGACGACACGTGGAAGATCGTGGATGATTTGGAGATTCTGGTGAAGAGGCTGAAGATGAAGCAATCCAAAGATGGTAAATTGAAAAATGACAACTTTGATGCGTATTCGGATGCAGGTTGGTCCCGAGAATTGGGGCCTTCTGCGGAGATTTCGGAGAAGAGAGTGTTTTGGGAGGAGTCAGGGCATGATTATTCAGTGTTTTTGAAGGAATTGGGAGGGTTGAGAGCCAGGGCTGATAGTGCTAGATCAAGGGAAGAAGCTTTTGATGGACACATGGCAATTGGAAGGGTTTTGTATGAGCATCAGTTGTTTAAGGAGGCTTTGGTTAGTTTCAAGAGGGCTTGTGAGTTGCAACCTGTTGATGTGAGGCCTCATTTTAGAGCTGGCAACTGTTTGTATGTTCTTGGCAGGTACAAGGAGGCCAAGGAGGAGTTCTTGTTGGCTCTTGAATCCGCCGAGGCCGGTGGAAACCAATGGGCTTACTTGCTGCCTCAGATTTATGTCAACCTTGGCATTGCGCTTGAGGGCGAAGGCATGGTTTTGAGTGCCTGTGAGTATTACAGAGAGGCGGCAATTCTTTGTCCCACGCATTTTAGAGCTTTGAAGCTTCTAGGCAGTGCCCTTTTCGGTGTTGGGGAATATAGGGCGGCTGTGAAGGCCCTGGAAGAGGCAATTTTCATGAAGCCGGATTATGCTGATGCGCATTGCGATTTGGCCTCAGCGTTGCATGCCATGGGGGAGGATGAGAGGGCAATTGAAGTGTTTCAGAAGGCTATTGATTTGAAACCCGGGCATGTGGATGCGCTTTACAATTTAGGTGGGCTGTATATGGACCTTGGCAGGTTTCAGAGGGCCTCTGAAATGTATACTAGGGTTTTGGCTGTGTGGCCTAACCATTGGCGAGCGCAGCTGAACAAGGCGGTGTCTCTGCTCGGAGCTGGGGAGACGGAAGAAGCAAAGAGAGCCTTGAAGGAAGCGTTGAAAATGACAAATAGGGTTGAGTTGCATGACGCAATATCGCATTTGAAGCAGCTGCAGAAAAAGAAGACCAAAGCCAATGGGGGTGTTTCTGGGGAGTCATTGTTTATCATAGTTGAACCGTCCAAGTTTAAGACAGTTGGAGAAAGGACTACTGGGAGGCAGGAACTAGCCACTGCCCTGCAAATCAGAGCACTTCAGAGGGTTACCAGGTTGAATCGTTGCAGTGTGGAGCTTTTGAAGAAGGAAATGAGTGAACGAGAGGTGCCGGTGTCCTATTCTGGAAGTGGAGTTCCTGAAAAGTCCATTCGAAAGCCGAATTTGGAAGAAATTCTTCACAGATTACTCAGTTTTCTGAAGCCTGAGACTTTTCAAGGAGCTGTAAAAGCGATAAATGAGAGGATTCTGTCTGTTTTGGATGATAGTGGTTCAGGCAGGCTCGATCTGGGAATGTTTTATGCTATTCTCGCCCCTATTTGCGGCGGTCCACCAGACAGACGTAAAAGGATTGCCTTTGATGCACTTTTGTGGCGTCCTATGAATGAAGACGGTGCTAATATTAAGAAAGTTGATGCCACTATATACATCAAGTTGTTAAGGGCCGTTTATCTTCCTTCCCAAGGGGTTAGTGAATTAATGGAAGTTCGAGGAGACTCAGACACTTCAATGGTGTCTTTCTCCGAGTTTCTAGTAATGTTTGATGATCCAGATTGGGGTTTTGGTATCATGCCCACTCTACTGAAGCTTGAAATGGGGGATAGAAACCGGCATGGCAACACCGTGTGCGTAGTTTGCCGGTACCCAATTATTGGTTCTCGGTTTAAGGAGACAAAATCTCATTTTAGTTTGTGTAACCAATGCTACAGTGAGGGAAAGGTGCCTGCTTCATTTAAGCAGGAAGAGTACAGGTTTAAGGAATATGGAAGTGAAGGGGAAGCCATGAAAGACAAATGTACGTGCTTTAATTTGCATTCCCGCGATGAACAGTAGATAGTAGCATTCAATTTTTGTCTTTTGATTTTTTGTTCTACTATCTTGTATTATCCCATCTTGTTTATCCTAGCTTTTCAGTGTGACATATCTAGCTCATGCATTCACCAGGCATTTTGCATTTTGGCCCTTTTGTCTAATAACTGTTTCAGGGGGTTCTTCACTGTTTTAGTAACTGTTTATAGATATTGTAAAACCTTAACCCCATCCGTGACAAACATTTGTGTTGATCATGCTTCTTTATCGCTTCTTGCTGTTGTGTATGAAGCATTTTTCTTTGACAAACCTTTGTCTAATGTTCAATGGAGGAGTGATTAATTTTTCAAGAGTTGTCCTCCTAACTGTGTTAGATTTTGCCTGTACGTTTCAAGTATCATGAGTACAATACATTCATGGTTTTTCTTTCATTTCAATGTTAATTTGACAGTACATTTAACTGTTCTTTCAACTGTCATTTGTTTTTATATGGTTAATTTGGTTTACATTTACACTTTTGTGTACTGGGCCTTTGCGGTTTTGTATTATGAATTTACAGAAATTTTGTTGCAATTGAATCTAGTGCAGAAAAATATACTAACCTCTGATCAAGTTCTTTATGTTATTGATATGAAGTTCTCAAATCAAATAATGACGTGATTTTTTTTAATTTGTAACACATTCTCTGCGGAAGTTATTTAATATTGAAATAAAATGTTATTGTTTGATTTGTGATCTTAAATAAATATAAAGGTTCGTAAAAAGCAAAAAATGGTGGAAATGGAAGGGTTGTTAAGTTAAAATGAGATTAGTAGTGGAGTTTGATGTGCTAAACCAAAAGCCTTAGCAACGAGAAGGCATGTCCGATCCACAAGAGCAATAAGCACAGGTTGGGGAATAATGAGAATGTTCATGTGAATAGGATGCAGCATGAAAAATGCTGACGTGAGAATATGCACGAGGAAATGAATACAGAAGGGTTTGATTGGAGAGGAAAATTAAATTTTAGAAATAACTTTGCTTTTCTTCTCATTTTGACTCAAATTCAAATTCTAAAATTTCCCAGTCCTTTCATTTTCTTCAAAATGGGAAAACCAGAGAGTGTCTCCCTCCCTGCTCTTGATCTCCACAAACTTGACTTGTTTTCAATCTCGTTAGCCATCAGGTGTTTTTGTTCCTCGTCTCCGTTTCTCACCTTGAATTAAGATAAAATAGCAAATAATATAAAAACATTAAAAACTATAAATACTGGTCTATTTTACATTGAATTCACGTAAATACATAAAAATGATTTAAATAACCTAGATTGAATATGAGGTGAGAGAACTTTTATGCCATCCCCATTTTTAAGGGGAAAATTTCCCCAAAACAATCAACAAAGATTTCTAATTTTAAGTAAAATTTGTTATCAGCTAGTGGAGATGGTCCTGTTAAGAAGCCTACATTTCTTTTATCTCTTGTAATTTATCTTCCTGAACTAATTACGACTTGCATTATTAGTTGAGGGGAAATGTAGGAAATTCAGGAGCAAATTTTTATCACCAAAATTCTTGAAATATATCCCTATAATGATATCAGTTATCAAAACAGCCTATAATGGAATAATACATTCATCTCTAAAATAATTGATTATATAAGAAAATAAATTTTAATTTCATTCTCTATCTTTATTTTAATTTATTTTGGTCTTCTAATTTAAAAAAACATTTTAAATAGATTTTTTTTCTGATAAAAATCTTAATTCTATTAATACTTTTTTTTTTCCTGCTCATCATCTTCTTTAGTCTTTATGCACTGTTAATCATCTCTTTTTTCAAATCTCTAGTTTCTGTTTTCTCTCTTATCTTTCTTTCTTCCTCCCTCTTTCCGTCTTTCGGTAACAAACACTCGACATGTACTCTCAGTCCACCAACCTCTCACCACGTAGTTGCTCCCACAGTTGCTATACTTCCATTGCTCTCGAGAATTCTCGTGCAGATCAACAATAATGGTTGTTGCACTGATGAAAACAACAACATTCTCCCCACAGAGTCATGGCAGTGCCTTAAAGTGATAATCACTACTTCCACCACTCTCTACCATGTGTAATTTTGAAGAGGAAGAAGCAAAAAAAGAATAATAGAGATATGAAAGAGAAAATGAAGAGAAGGAAGTGAAGGAGAAAGTTGAATAAGGAGATCTAAGGAAGAAAACTATAATAAATGGAATGATTCGAGGAAAAAGATGATGATAAATAATATATAACAAAAAAACATCTATTAACTAAGTTATCTTTTTAAAAGAATAAAAAAATTATTTGAATCAATTTTTAAAATTTAAGAATAAAAATAGATCAAAATAAAATTAGAGAACGAGATTAAAATTAATTTTTAAATTAGAGTATAAAAACACTAATTTTATTTTTATTTTATTATTTAAACAATTGATTCTTTTGAATTAACTTTTAATATTAATACTTTTAAAAATAAATTCTATTAAATTTTTGTAAGATCAACTTTTAAATATATTTTTTTCTCTTTAAGTTTGGGGCTTAAAATAATTTCAATTTAATTTTTTTAAGGACATCGTTAACCAGTACCTTAAATTTATTCATTAAAGAATAATAAATTATTTTTTATTAAAATTATTTTTAAAATGAATTAAATTCTAAGATACTTGCTAATTAGCATACGTATTTTTTTAAAAATACTTATCATAAATAAAGTTAATAGTTTTCTTAACACGAGTTGATTTAAATCACGTAAAAGTAATAATATTTTATTAAAACATAGATAACACTTTTATATATTTAATATAATAAATAGTTTTAATAAATTTTATTATTATTAATTATTTAAAGTTAATTTTTAAAGACTGATATTAACGTTCTCCTATAGCCAATACTAACCTATTATGATTGGTTTTTTCATGGTATTTGTGCAACCTAACGTATATTTGCAATTGTTAAAATCAAGACTAAATATTCGTGTAAAGATGCACGAGACGTTAAATTTTAAAATTCTTTTGGACATATAAATGGAGATTGGTCTCTCGTTCGTATGTGCCATTTTTTAAATACTAAAATTGATATTCAAATTTTTTAAACAATCAATTTACTGTGTTATTCTTACAAAAACATTTAAGAGAGTTTTTAAAATATTAATTAAGTTATTAAAAACTTACGACTTTTACAATTTTTTAACTCATTCAAATAAATTTTATGATTTAATTTACAATATAGACCTTAACATAATAAAATATTATTAAATAGATATTTAATGAAATTATTGACTAAATACAAATTTTAGAAAGATAATATTTTTATTTTATTATTTAAATAAATAAAAGTTAATATCATACAATATTTTATATATCTTATTTTATACATACGCATTGAAAGTATAAAAAATAACTAAAATTTATCTCAAAATGGTTAAAACAGCATATTTTTAAATTTAAATAAATTTTCATCTTATATGTAGTGAGATTTTAATTTTAATAATGGAATTTTCATGAGTTTTAATCCTTAATTTTTTTAAATCAACATTTTTTTCACCCTACGTTGCTGCTAGTTAACAAACCCTAAAGAAAAATATTGACCTTAAAGTAAATTGATGATAGTTTAAAAAAGGTAAAGTTTTATTAAAAGGATAAGTATATATTTTAAAATAAAAAATAATTAAAGATATTTAAACCTAATGGAGAACAAAAACCCTTATAATAAAGTGAAGAAAATAGAAATTGGAGATGTGGCCAAAGGAAAACTAAACGGAAGTAGAGAAGGGTTTGAGGGTTTGAGTACAGTGAGTAAGAGAAAGGGGGTTGAATGGGTGGAGAGGGGATGAAGGAAGTGGGAATGGTGGCGAAGAAGCTTATACGAAGCACAGGGAAAGCAGCGTGGATCGTTGGAACAACTTTCATCGTTTTGGTGGTTCCTCTCATCGTTGCGATGGACCGCGAACAACAGATCAACGAACTCGAGTCCCAACAGGCCAGCATCCTCGGAACCCCTCCTTCGAACCTCCCTTAACATCCTTTTCTTCTCTCTTCTTTTTTATTATGCCTGCCATTATCATCATTTTCACACTTGTTCTTTTAGATCTATCTCCATGAATTTTGCCTAAGCCTTTTTCGACTTCGGCTGCGTTTGGATATACTTATTCAATAAGTTGATTTTTCAATCGATCTTCTGCCATAAATTTATTTATTAGTTTTTTTTTTTTTTTACTAATATTCTTGGAGCATTTGGAAATCACTTGCTTATTATGATCCTTCAGCAATAGAACAATAGCAAAAATCAATCTTCCTGTAAGAAATTAAAAAAAAAAACTGAAAGATATATAACATAAAATAATCCATACGCTCTTTGTACATTTCCTACGTTCTTTCATCTCCAAAGATGATGCTTCGAAAACCCATACTACAAATTGAAAGAATAATCGAGAAAAAAAGTCGATATATTTTTATGTGCTCGTTTTGTACTCATCACTGTCTCGATAGATACGTAATAGATATTTCTCTTGTCGATATATTTCTTTTTATCAATTTCATGTTGGGGTTGAAGAATAAGAGGGAACACAAGCGGGTTATGCTTACTCTAGACAATTACGCGTGTTAATCCTTAAAATGATTTTCATAGAAGGAAAGTCGCATAATTTCACTCCAACACCCCTCCCCCTTAAAAAAAAGGTTGTTGTCCAGACATTTAATTGTAGAATGTATGAAGTATATTATTTCAAAATTACACTGTAGGAGCGATTTACAAATTATTTAACTCAAAATTCAATATAGGTCCATGATTTCTGCAGTCCCAATACCGTCGAGCGTAAATGCATGCACTGCTGTTCTTAACCTTTTTTTCTTCATGACAAAACAAATAAAAACCTCTTTACTACACAAAGGAGCTGATACAATCTCGACCCAAAAAAAGGAGCTAATATGGATAAAATATATCTTCAAAACTTAGTCGAATGGCAATGATAAAATCTGCACACCACTACTTTCACGAGTGAACCCAGTTAAAATGTTTCCGTTAATAGTCGAGCATAGAAGGGAAAAAAGTTTCATAGCAATGGGTCTAAATGTACATGGGGATAATCAAGTTAGTCAACAAGAATAAAACCTTTCTTTATGTATTCCAAACATGGGAATGGCAAGTCCATAACTTGTTCTAGTTCAAGGGATTTAGAAATGAGGGTGTTAAGAACCAAGTCCCGGTTAAAATACTCATTATCTCTACCAAAACCTCTACACACAATCAGAGACGTATTATAGACCCAAGGAACTGCAACAGTAAAAGCAAGGCCAGAACCTCCATTTCCTACTAGCACGTTTTTGTACGCTTGGCAAACATGAGACACATACTTTCCCATTGGTAAGTTTTGTTCGAGCACAGATGGAACATATCCATCATCATTGAAGATATCAGAGTCAGAATGCAGGTTCACCACAACAGTGCCATGTTTGGGATGAAGTTGATTACTTAGGGCTTTAAGAAATGGTGAATCTGGGTCCCATAACTTGTGGGGAAATATATCATCACCATCATAAGCATCAACAAAGATCATATCATATAGATCGGTATTATTAATAATAAATTGCTCAGCATCTGCTTCATAAAGATGAATCCTTTCATGAATGCCTTTCCACATAATTTCATCTATGATACCAGGTTTTGCAAAAGCCCGGTCACCCGTTTGTGTCATGAGTGAGAAGGCCGGGAACCCCATAGCACGAATTGAGGCTGAGATAACAAGGGGATCAATTTCAACTATATGGACAACGGCACCTGGCAAGAGCACAGACAAATAATAAGGTCTGCAAGGATTAATTACAACCATATATTTGTTAATATTAGTGAACAAGGGAGAGGAAGAAAAAGGAGAATGCATTAATTTTTCAAGCTACCACTTAAAACCAGAAAAACTGTAAAGTAGAACAATTTTCACCTCGGATTTTACTCGCCAAAAACAGTGGTAAACTTCCCCCACCATGTCCAATGCATAAAATGTGCATATTTTTCTTTCCTTGCAGTGCACTGGTAATATCAAAATTACACGAGGCTACGGTAGTCAAACCAGCTGATATCATACTCTTCACATCTGCAAAAGGGGCATTAAATAAATAAAAAATATATACTTGGGATTATGGACTGAAAATCAACTGTAAGGACAGAGATGATCATAAAATTTGAAATAAAGAAGAATCATGACTGAAAAGATACCCCTGGAACTTAACTAATAAATTTCATGACCAAAAACCGAATATCAAAATCCATAATGACATATAGTAATTAGTGTCAAATGGCCCAAAGTAATGGAGTGGTGAGCATAAAGCAGCTTATTAAAGGAATGATGCAAGAAAATAAGTTGTAAGAGCACAAGTTAAGCAGATATTCAAGATTTATATCTAGGCAGCCTACAAAGTCATTCTCTTCAAATGGCATGCAAAAGCCTCCCAACAAACACTAAATACCAAATAGCAAGGAAATTTCCCTCATGCAAAGGGATAAGGGGAATCAAATCACCCGTCTCTTATGGTGTCCCCTTCATAGTTCCTCCAATAAAAAATAACACCTCAGTAAAGAAAACTAACAACTAAGAGAGAGAATGTTACTATTTGAAAGACAAGGAACGGAAAAAACAGGAATGTGGATCCGCTCCAGTTAACACAGAGACATCCAGTTTCATTTTTGCTTAAACGAAAATAAACTGACTTAAGCAAAAATACCGAAAATAAAAAATATTTTTTATACAAAATTAGCTTAAATAAATTTTTTTTAGCTTAAGCAAATTATTTTGGCTTAAACAAAATTTGTGCATTTGAAGAGATAAAAACTGAGTGTGAAAGGAAAAGGACTCAGGATGGATAGAGATAAGGAGGGCAAGTGATATAGAGAAAGAAGGGTGGAGAGTTGGGTATGGAGGAAAGAGGGAGAGATAGGTACAAGGTGGGGTGAGAGTGAGAAAAGGAAGAGAGGAGTTTAAGGTGGAGGGAAGAGATAGTTAGGAGAGAAAAAGAAGAGTTGAGTATGAGAGAAAAAAGAAGGTTGAATATGAAGATTGAGAAAGGAGTATTAGACATGGAGAGAAAGAGAAGAGAAGATTGTGAGAAAATACACAAATTTAGCTTAAGCCAAAATAATTCGCTACAGATTGCTTGAGCTAACAAAATTAACTTAAGCTAATTTTACATTAAAAAATTTGTTGTTTTCTACATCGCTTAAGTGAGTCCATTTTTGTTCATTTAAGTGAAAATGAAACTAGCTTTGGCTTTAACTGGCATCTGACAAACAGGATAGGTAATTCTAATCTGATAGACTGATACTCATTATTTCCTTACTCAGAGGTATGATAAATTTTTACATAAGAACTCACCAAAACACCAAACTGACCGTAGGAGATAAAGTTCCATCACAATTATAATTTTATATTATTCACATAGCAGAATGATTAGGGAATGTACATGGCACGGCCAAGCAATGTGGTTGCTGCGTGATATAGACAGAACCCGGTTTGTTTTCACGGTAAGAAAGCATTACTTTTGCTGTGCTCTGTCGAGTAACATCATTGAAACGAAGCACCCGCCATTGATATCCAAGTATCCTCAGATTCCCTCCATCCCCATATCCAGAATGCACCTCCTCACACCTCTGCTGCAGCCATCTTTCCATTTTTGACCAATGCATCCTACTCTGGACGAAACCATGCAAACCCCAAGTTCCATTGTCAACACCATGCAGAACATTCAAATGGGTATCTAAATAGAGGGAATCTTTCAAAGGCTGTGTTTTCAAGACATGAAGCATTTGCAAAATAGAAAAAAAAATTGTCTCGCAAAAATTAAATTAAATAATCTCAGTTAGATATATGGTTACATCTATGACCATTTTAATTTAATTTTAAACAAAATTTGCAAGTTATAGATATTGAATTGCCGTAGTTCAATTTAATTTAATTTTTCTGAAATTTCAAATTCTTTCGGAAGATCGCCAAAAATAAATAGGTTCGGAAAATTTAAAATGGTTCGTGCAATGCAAACAGAAGCTAAAGAGAAAAAGGCGTTAAGAAAGAGTGGGAACTAACGGGTCTTGAGGAGGGATGTGCAACGACCGAAACGACGCCGTTTCCCATGCCGGAAGTTGATCGGAGAACTGTGTTGCCGTCGTCGGGGGCGGATCCCCACCACTCGGAAGAGAAGAGCCAGTCACCTTCGTCCTCCGCGCGCCGCCGCACCGCCGTCGAGAAACGGTGGAGGCAACGGGAACCAGCTCTGGCACCGCGCCACATGAGGTAAAACTAAAACCCTAACGAACCCTGATTCATAGGGTTTTGAATTTGATTTGGGTCCGCTGAATGAGGTTGAGTGAGCGTGAATAGACCAGCCGGGTCGGGTTCGGGTTTTTATTAGCTAGTTATATGGTTTCTAAATCGACACAAATACAGCACTAACGATCTCATGATTACGAAGGTTAACAAAGTCAGGGCACAAACCATTTTTAAGAGTAAGAAAATTATTATTAACATATTTTTTAATATATTTTTTAATTATTGATTCAAATTTATCAAAAATATAAAAATAATTAAATTAACAATATATATTATATTTTTTTCTTATAATATATATTATAAATTTTAATTAAAGTTAATATTTTTACCAGCTTAACTTTATTATTTAAATATATAAATTAATATTATATGGGACAATATAAAATCATATTTAGAATTTAACTAAAAGTGTATTCTTTTAAATTATTAATCAATATTAAAATTTATCAAATAAATTACTTTAAAAATAATATTTAAGATATTATCTAACTTGTTTATATACATGCATATTAAAATATATTCTAAAATAAAAAATTTTATTATATGTTGAATTGCATCAAAGTTTTGAATATAAAGGATATATATATATATATATATATATATATATATATATAATATCTTTTATTTATATTTATTTTTAATTCATGTTAGATGCTTCAAATTAGAGTTTAGGTAGTGTTATGCATAAAAGTATGTTCATAAATAGATGTACTTATCAAAAGATAATAAAGTTGTTAAATTGAATTTATAGAATATCATCCTACATAAATTAGTTTTAATTATTAAGACTATAAAAGACTTAAATCAAGAAAAATAATCAAATGAAAAAAAAAAAGATAACACAGTTATTTGAAATGAATTTAAGGTATTTAATTTTACTTTTATATTTTTTTATGTTCATTTTTAGTTAAACCCTAATCTATGTTTTTGTATGATTGTTAATCTCTTATACTAAAACTACTAACACCTAATATTTATATAATGTGTTAGGAAATGAATATTACAACAAGGACAAAATAGAAAAAGGGGATATAAGGGCCAAAAAGTGAAATGAAAAGATGGAAAAGGAGACCACAAGGCAGAGGAGTAGGAAACGCCTAGGGGTGTCCAGCAGATTAAGGAAGAATAAGGCAAGTTCTGAGGCAGCGACCTTGGTTACTGTTAAATAAAGCCAGTCAGTGCACTCCCTATCTCATCGGATTCAAAGAGGAACGATTCCTTAAGAGAAGAAGCAAAAGAGAGCGGTCTTGGGGAAGAGAGGAAAAGTTGCTTCAAGACTGCCTTAGTAATGATGCTTGTCAGAAAAGGAAAACAGAGACAATTAGTAGGGACATTTTGCTACTTGGAGAGTAACGCAAAGCAGAATATATAAGGAATGAATGATGAGAGACGAAAGATCTTTTTTCTCCTTTATGTTAGGTATTTGGAAGTGAAGTAACCTTCGCAAAGAATAAGAAAGAAAAACAAATGATTCATTCTCAATAACAACCTTCCATAAGTGCGCTCCCTAAGTTTGCTAGCCTAAAGCGTGACATGAAGACAAAACATGGAGCTTCATAATTTGTAAATGTTGCAAAGCACAAACGAGTGCATTTGGATGAGCGCTCTTTGGCATGCTTGAGCGAGAGAATGTTGCTCAAGCGAAGTTAAGAGAGTGCTCTACTAAACGGGAACTCATGATCGGTATTTAGCTTGGAGGGATTTCAGGTGTGCTTTACTCTAGTAGAGGCACTCTATGCCTTGAAAAGGAGGTAATGGTTGTCCTTGGACGTTATCTGCATCTTAAGACATTGGACAACCTCCTACAAGAATGAGGAATTTCAAGATATGAGGATAACTCATGCTCGCATAAAGCACCTGTTAATTTGGTATACTTAATTCTTTGTCTCATTTTATCCTACAGTTTTATTAATTATATGTGATACGATCGCCTATAATGTAATCAATTATGATATGTTAAGAATGACTAATTCTAAACATACAAATATAGATATACTAATGTAAAAACCAATTTAAAAAGAAAACTACAACTATCATTAAAAATAAAGATCACATAAAGTTTACAAATGATCTACCATAACCATAACTATGGATTTAACTACTTATAATGGAATAAGAAGGAAGAAGATGGTAAGGAAATTCATATTCATTCGAAAAAGAATTCAAGCTAAAGGAATCTTAAGGAAAAAGGAAAAAGAGATGAAAAAAGTTCTTGTTCTCAAAAAACGCTTTCAATCACTACTCAGACTTCGGAAAGGTATCTTACATCTTTACCAATGATCTTCACCCCTAAACCACACTAAAAGTCAATTAGGGAGAGTGTGTTTGTGTCAAGTGTACGAAGCCTTTATATAGGGTGTGGAATACAAGAAAGGATAATATTTAGGTCTCTAAAATATATACTTTATCTCTAACAAATATATGACTTATTAATAGATAAAGATATGATTTTATGTGGTCAAATTCAAAGTTCAAATTCTTTCTCACAGGCCTCTTAAAAATCTCCAAATCAATTACACTAAAGAAGAAGTACAACTGTACATATCCTCCAGCACAGTTGTTGTGCATAATCACGAAACACTCCCAAACTTATTTGAGCACTATATTCATCTTTCATTGCTTGAGCCCATTTTGGTTTAGAGAGCTTCCTTACTATGTAAGGTTCTATTGTGTGATAATAGGACATGGAGGAAACAACAACATATATTTTAGGTTTGACTATCTCAGCTTTTGCTCTTGTGATCACGGGATGAGTGTTCTGTTTAGACTGAGAAGATGACCTTGCAATAAAATGAGTAGCATAAACTAGAATAATTGCATTAGTGTTACATGTTATTAATCAATTAAAGTATGTTTCTTTTTATTTATTATTTATTTCATTTTTTTATTAATCAAATATCTTAAGTATTTTTCTATTCTATTAATTCAAATGTCTTCTTTTAAATATTTTTTCCTAATTAATAAATAATTAAGTGATAATTTATTAACTAAGTTAAGTGTAATGATATATAATATTAATGTATAATGTTTTAACCTTTATACATTATAAACGGTAAAAATCTTTGTGTAGGTCTCATGTAATAAAATTTTATTTTAAAATTAAGCTATATTATGACTTATTTTGTTAAATAATTATCTTACTAAGTAATTTAAATATATTTTTCCCTTTAAATATTTCTCCTTTTATTAAATAAAATTAATTTTATATTCAAAAGAATAATAATAATAAATCATATTTCTAATTTTAATAAATTAAATAACTAAATATTTGATTACTTAAATTTATTTCTTTATTTTATTATACAATATTTTACCATATCGATATATGATTCACATTGCTTTCAGTTGACAAATAATTTGTGAGAAATTTTTGTATAAAGCTTATGCTGTTTTAAATTTATTTAATATTAAATTTCAAATTAAAATATATATTCAAAATAATTTTTTATTAATTAAAATATTTTATTTTAATTACCACACTCTTTTGCAATGAGTTATAATATGAATGCATGATTTTCTTTCACCTTTCATATAATTTATCGTAGAGTAACATGTATAGTTGTGCTATATGATATCTTAAAAGATATAAATTATTTTTTTAAAAATACAATTAATCTTAAAATAAATTCTTTTAAAATATTATAAAATTTCATTTAAAACCTTATAAATTTCAAATTAACAAACTAATTGCACAATTTTTATATAGATCTACGTGACTTTGAGTCCTCAATTGCACTAAGTATATATAAGCAAAAATTGGACTCGTCGAGCTAAAATGATTTCAAAATAATAATTTTCTCCTTTTCTATAACATCAATTGATATTTTTAATAAATAAATTTACTTTCTTTAAATAAAGGATAAAAATAGAAAAAGTTAGTATTTAGGAGTTAAATAAATATTTTTAAAATTAAAATAAATTTTCATAATTAAATATAATATTATTTAAATAGATGTTGTAGGATGTCAATATTTTTCTTATAAGTACCTAACTTCTGAATCCATCTTTTATTTTAAAGATTATATTTTAAAAAATTTTCTAATTAATAAATTTTAGTGGTTAACTTTGATTTTCTTAGCAAATATTTATTCTTAGAATCAATAACATGCCTTGTTGTCCCGTTGCGATCCACGTTGTGACACTAGAAATATAGTATTTGTCTCTTGTGTTAATAATTATATCCAAAGATTAAACACACATGTGAGTTGAAGTCCTTTATATGTTGATTATAAGAACTCAATTGGAAAGCACAACAAAAAGTCTTTATAAATTCGGTGACTTGTGAATAATAGTTTCGAAGAGATTTATGTTGTGAAGAAGAGGATTTGAGAGTAAATTGATGAAGGTTAGGGGTATTCAAAAAATTCAATTTCATAAATCCAATCTATAACTAATGTCAAATTAGTTTTAAAAATCTAGATCCATATTAAACCAGTTTTTTTATTAACTATATTTATGTAACTCGTTTAGTGTCTAAATTTATTTTCTAAAACTGGATTTGTTTTTAGTTATCTAAATCTATATGTATGAAGCAACCTTATATCTTTATTTATTAAATTTTGGTGTTATATTAGTTTACAAAATTTTATTGTAATTACATTTTACTGCTATTATTTTTTTTATTAATCTTAATTCTTATAATTAAAATATTTAAAATAATTAAAAATATTAAAATATAAAAAATATTTTTAAATTAATTACTACTTTTTTTTATATTTATGTTTATTTTTTAATTTTTAACATATTATAACATAAAATTTTTATTATTATTTATATTATTAATTTTTATTTTTATAGGTTTTAATTTAAATTTTTACTATAAACTTCGTTTATTAAAAATAAGTTAAAAATAATAATAAATATTTTACATACTTCTTTAAAATATAATATATTAATAAATATTGTTAAAATCTTTTTAAAATGCACTAATTTAATGTAACATTTGTATAATAAATTAGTTTTATCTTAAAAATATAATTCACAAATATATTGAAAATTAATTTTGTGTTAAAAATTAAATTTAAAATTAGATTTAAAACTAATTTAACGTAAAACCAAATTTAAAACTAGTTTCAACACAAACTGAATTTAAAATCGATTTTAAACTAAA